AACGATTAGCAATTAATGATTAGCAATTAATAATTAGCAATTAACAATTAGTAATTAATGATTGTGATTAATAATTAATACTTAACACTTAATGTTTAATGATTAATGCATAACGCTTAGCAATTAATGATTATCATTTAATACTTAACGATTAGCAATTATACTTTATACTTAGTATTAAGTAAACTACACTTAGCTGCAATGATTAGTGATTAGCTCTAAAGATATAAAAAGAATATAAATTTTCTCAAGTTAATATTAGATCTGTTACTGTTCACTCCTAGACCCAGACTCCTCTTTTATCTAAATTTCTCTTGTAATATTATAAGATTTTTTAAAATAGGAATCTAAAGATAACTTGTTTTATTTATCTTAATAAAATATATATTTTATTTATAAACTATTGTTTGCTCAAACTGCTACAAATAGAAGAATATAGTTTCTAATTAAAGTAAAAATTATACTTACCTGTTAAATACTACTATAAACTTGTGAAAAATCTGTATAGTATATCATTGTTATAGTACTACTGTTAAGAAGACCATAGTACTGTAATATTATTATTTTTATTAGTTTTATTAGTTTGGAAAAAATATATAAACTCAGGTTTGAGCCTTGTAGCTTATTAGTTAAGCTCCCAAACCCCCACAGACAAGGTTGATAGTTCGAATCTACCTGGAGGTATAAAATCTAGAATTTTTAATCCTCTGTAAGTCTAAATGGCAGAAGCACTATTTCAAACATGGAGCCTTGTGGAAAATCTAAGTGCAAGTACAAGTTCTGGAATAAAAATTTTCAGAAGGAGCCCTGATCATAGAGCAGTGTTGATACACGTGTCTCTTACAGAAGGTCTAGTTTGTAGAAGATCGCATATGTAAGTCCTCTGGTTGGGTGACCTGAAGGCAATACCAATATCCTTTCATCTCTGCTTTAGGCAGTACCAACATCCTTGTATCCAACTTGTGGAGTACTTGCTTGGAGGATCGTGCATATTAGTTCTAATTCGAATTGGCGTTAGGTACTTGCTTGGGAGTGTAATACAATACTACTAAAACTGGAGTATCAAGAGAAGCGGTAGATATGTGAAAGGGCTGTAATAAAGGATTGGCCTTACCTGAATTGAAAGCACCTCTAGTACTGTGAAACAACTAACTAAAGAAGGTAATTTCATAGAGGCAGGCTAGCTAATCTAATATGTCTAAAGGCATCAAGTCAAAGCTCTGGTCATATCTATATGGAAATCGATAACAAAAGAAGCCAGAATACACCAATGATAATGCAACACCAACCAATAGATAAGAGTTCAAGTTGGAAGTTAATGTGAATTGGAGTATGCCTCCTAGTAACATGACGCAAGGCTTATGGCTAGAAGTAGAACCGGGCTCACCTTGATCTTACAAAATATGGTTCTGGTAATATACTATATGAGGAAGTACAAATAGATTAGTTGGTACCACTATACCAGAAAAAGAATGTTAAGTTCTGGATAGCAAACTAGTGGCAGCAGCAGAACTTGGCTTAAGATATGGGTAGTAGTATCTGAGCAGATAAGTGGAAGGATCTTTGCCAATTGGTATATCTGGCAATATAATACCAACTCTGTCATATAGCGAATCTAACTAGGCAGCAAATTCCTGGCTTGAGATATGAGGCTGTAGAAAAGTCACCTGCACCAATTATAGTTGCACTAATAGAATCTATTAGAAGATTTGCAGTAGATTGTGTTTGCAGGTATACCAATTTGGGAGCTCATAGAAGTGAATACCCGACGTATTAACCTATAAAGATTCGGTTTTATATTTACTCGAACCTGGAGAATTAGAATTTGGCAGAAGACGCATAACTGATATGAATTGGTCTCCAAAGGTTTATCACATTAAAGAATCATTAATACAAAAAAATCAACCGGTGTTATACTGGCTTATAGATGAAAATGGAGATAGTCCTAAAAGATCATTCGTGAAAGAACAATTGATGAAAATTGGTAAAGTTGTGTATCCACCTAAACAGATTCTTAAACAATATTAAATTTCTAAACTGTGAATTCTTTGAAGAATATTATCTACTTCTTCTTTGGATCTTTTTTCTACAACTTTTTCCTGACTAGCTAATTTGAAATACAACTTATATAAATTTTCAAGGCTAGTATATACTTCTTCATTATACCAATCTTTGAAATCTGCCATTCTTTCATTATAAGTTTCCTCATTTGAGACACGCTGTTTTGCAACATATCTAACATGATCTTCTGGATCTCTTTTTCATTATAAAGTTTTAAGATAGTTTACATATGATGCTTCTAATTTGTCATATTTTTTGGTACTTTGACTATATGCTACTTTAATTACTTCAATTAAAGCTAATTCGATATTTTTGTAATTTACCATTTGAATTTTATTTTTTTTATTGTATATTACTTTATTCAGATCTTTTGTTTAAATAAAAAATATTTCTTTTACCTCAAAACCTAAAATAATTTCATTGGCATATATAATAGCAGTATGGAAATAAAATATAACTTTACTAAGAACAGTTTGTGAAAAATATATAATTAAAGAAAGATATATTTTATTTACAGTATAAGACTTTAATTACAAGAAAGAAACGAATAATAGGGACAAACTCTTTCCGTCAATCACTTACACAAAACTTAACTAAAAATTTGTCAGTTAAAAATCTTTAATAACACGTTAATTTACTAAAACAACCACTCTCAATATCTTAATTAAACTTGCTCAACTCTTAATTTTACATATATTTTAAAAGTTTCAAGCTTCTATCTTAAAAACTCGTAATATAACGATACTAAACCTACTTTTAGCTCTAAAATATAAACTTTTAACAATTTCTCCAAAACTGTCTTTACAAATTATCTAGTAACACTAAGATAAGTCAGTATTGGCTGATGACCTTGAATGACCTATATGACCTTTATGACCTGTCATAGGTTATTTGGTCATAACGAAGATTGATATGACTTT